GAGAGGATTGTGGAGTAGAAGACTCAGTTTTGTTTATCTTGTATTTAACTTTTCTACAAGCCTAGAGAGCTTTATTTGTATTGAACTTATGACTCATTTTTGATGTACCCAAACCTTAGCTTGGAAAGATGTAAGCCTTTAGGGCATATTAACATTTGTTTAGCTTTTATTCCTTATCATTTTTGTATATTAATTATGATTAATGAAAGCTTATCATTTCAATTATGTCATCTTGTATTATTTGTTTGGAGTTGGATTATTATAATTATTTCGGGGCGTTACACCAGGTTTTTAGGCTCGGCCCTAGGCTCTATTATGAGTGGGCTTGGGCTTGGGCCTGGGCCCCACTTTTCGACCCACCAAAAAAAGGAAACATGCGAGGCCCGTTTGGGCTGGCCAGAGCCTAGGCCACCGGGCCATAATTACGCCCCTACACATATGTAGGATTTATATTACATGATTAATTAAAGGTTGTTAGGGGTACACTATTTTAGTACATTTTTTTTTTATCTTATTTAAGTCATATCATTTTTTTTTATTTGACTCACATTACTTTTATACCACACTACACATCTTTTCATAAAATATATTTATTTAAATTATTCCAAACTGCCCCTTAATCTTTGTCTTCTTCACTTTTGGTCATAACTATATTCCGAAAAAAACCCAAACCCAAATAAACTTACAAGCAAGAATAACCAGTATACTTCCCTTGCGACATTAAATTGAACTACTCTCCTAGATCTAATTAGTTTGCAAGAAGGCAAATTATATTAATAGTCCATATAATTTGAGATTTGTGTCATTTTGATTTTTGATTTTTTAATTGTAATATATTTGACCTTAAATTTTGAATATCATTTCAAATAAAGACAATTGAAGACATTATTACTTTATTTGAAGGGCAAAATCGTCATACAACTAATTTTGTGTTTGTCAACTTCTATATTATTTGAAATATAATGGCATTTTTAAAAAATAAATAATGTCGGAACTTTTTTGGTTATAAAGTTCTGTTTGGTTTGTTTTTCAGAATTTTTTTGAGAAACAAATTTCTAAGAAATTAAAAATTAAATTGGTAAAAAAAAGAAAAATTATTTATAAGTCCTATTAGGGAGACTTGTGCTACATATGGTCATACTAAAAAACTTATGTTTCCATAAGTCCTGTGAGAAGTTTGTTGACACATTTGCCCCCAATATTAGTTGTTAATATCATACATAATAGTAAAACCATATATAGAAAATTGAATGTTACTATAGATCATATCTATATAAACGTAACGTAGCGTAACACCTACATAAACGTAACGTGACACCTACATAAACGTAACGTGACACCTGTACATAACGTGACACCTACATAAATGTAACGTGACACCTATGATCTATGGCAACATTCAATTTCCTGTCACGTTACATTTATGTAGGTGTCACGTATGAAACGTAACGTGACACCAATAATAACCAGCAACATTTTCACATTCAATTTAAAAAAATAAAAACTCATTAAGTTTGCGAAACGTAACGTGACACGTTACGTTACGTTTATGTAGGTGTCACGTTACGTTTATACAGGTGTCACGTTACGTTACGTTTATGTAGGGGTCACGTTACATTACGTTTATATAAGTGTCACGTTACGTTACGTTTATGTAGGATCTTGTGGAATACATTTCTATCTAAATAGGACTTGAGACTTTATAAGAAATTATACAGGACTTAACCTAGTATAAGTGTCTGGAAAAGGACTTATAAATAAGTCTCCAAAAAAAAAATAAAAAACATATCATTTTTATATAATTTTATATTTTGGGAGGATAGAAATAATTTTTTTATATTTATTTTTGTTAAATTAGTTTTTATTTTTTTAAAAATCAAATATAGCGACAATTTTGATATCATTATTAAACCAATCCATTAAATCAAAAAAAAAATTCAAAACTAAAAGGATTTCAGATATTAAACATATCGATTATATATTAAAAATCTAATAACAATCTATTACATGATAACCATTCAAAAATATCTGTTAACAATAAATATAACCATCTAGTACATGATAACTATAAAAAAATATCAACAAAAATAATCACAAAAATTAATTTGGTAAAAAAATAAAAAAAAATTATCATTTTTATGTAATTTTATTTTTGGTGAGTAAAAATAATTTTTTGACATTTATTTTTGTCAAATTAGTTTATATTTTATCAAATTGACAACTTTACCCTCAAAATGGAGTAACAATGTTTTTAATTGTCCTTATTTGAAACGAGATTCAAAATTCAGAATCAAATATATCACAATTAAAAAATTAAAAATTAAAATAATACAAATCTTAAATTACAAGAACCATTAATGTAATTCGGCCTCGAAAAGAAACGAAAGTTTACACACTAAATATTCTATTTGAGTTTAAACCTGAGATTTCATTCGAAAGGCCTGTTTAGACCGTGACAACAAAAAAATATATCAAGTATTTTTGGGACTTCTCATATCCAAACAAATCTTAAAGAATATTTTTGGTTGCAAATCATGTACCAAATGAAATGCCATTTATCTTTTGTGTTATATTAAAATATTAAAAATTTCTTCTTAATTATGAATCCGATTTAATGGATGTATATTTACCTCTATATCAAATTTGTAAGTTTCTTTCATGTCATAGGTTAGAGGGGTGGTCGCGATTCGGTTTTGGACAGTTTATGGATCGATTTGGATCTGTCCGCATATATGCGGTTTGAGAAAAAGTCAATCCGCAACCGCTCGCAGTGCGATTTGTGCGGATAAGGTTCACGGATGCGCGGGAGGGTTTGCGGATTGGACTTTTTCTTTAAAAATTTATTTTTAAGCCTTTTTTTTTCCAATTTTGTAAATATTTATTTTGGACCATTTTCTCCCTATTTTCTAAAATGCTCCAACATTAATAATTAATGAATTAAAACTTATAAAATTAAAAACACAACAAAATCAATTCCTAACAATACAAACAAATCATTTAAAATCCTAAATCATATCACAAACTAACACAAGCATATATTTCAAAATTCTAAACTGGATCATCAATCACATTCACTATCTATCTACTACTCAACAATTCAATTAAAGTAAAATTATTCAAAATTCTAAACTTACCTAAAAGTAATTCTTCATTAACTTTTACATTCATCCAAAATGCAATAATAAAATAAAAATAAATTGTTGGGAAACTTCATTCAATTCAAACCCATTCAAATTGGATTACAAAAATTAGAATGAAAATTAAATAAAAACTAAATGATAAATATAATATAAAAAAGTAATTAATAAATTCAATTTCCCCTCTAAATAACTGATTCAGTAATCAACAGATTCAATTTCCCTTAAGTACAAAGATCAAACCCATCCACCATATCACACAGAAAACTCCCAAAAATAACTCCTAAAAATTCAATAAACCCTAAACCCTCTAAATAAAATTCATTAACAGAAAACTCCCATAAAAAATTTTAAAAAAAAACAATTAAAATCAAACAATGTTCTGTGCAAGTCTATGAAGAATTTAAACAGATTCAATTTCAGATTCAATTAAACAGAAACTAAACAGATTCAATTAAAATTCAATAACATATTTAATTTCCACTTCTAATTTTTTTTTTATAATATAAACAAGTCTATGAAGAATCTTAAAAGAATCTTAATCCAAGATCTTAATCATCATTGAAACATAATCTTAGTCACATCAACAGAATCTTGATTCAGATAAAAAAATTCAGAGACTGGGGAGAGAGAGAGATATATTTGATTGCCTAAAAAAAAAATCAAAGATCGGAGAGCGAGAGAGAGAGACAGAAACAGAGAGGCGGTTACCTGAGAGTTGCCAGAGAGAGAGACTTGATCTTGTGAAGGTCGATCGGTCGCTTCGCTTGTCGCCACAGAGAGAGATGGAAGAATGAGAGAGAGTGAGATGAGAAGAGAGGCTACGCACAGAGAGAGACAGATCTGATTGCCTTCTAAAAAATCACAGACCGGGGAGAGAAACAGAGACAGAGACAGAGACAGAGAGATGCTTACCTCAGAGTTGCCGGAGAGAGAGAGTCGATCTTGCGAATGCTGATCGGTCACTTCGCTGTCGTCGCAGATGTTTTGATTTTGAGAGATTAAGATTTGGTTTGGTTTGTCTAGGCAAAAATATCTAGGATAGATGAACGGTCCAGATTTTTTTTTTTTTTTTTTAAAATGTAAATGCAGACAGGGTGTTCCGTGTGCGGTTCAAACCCGCAATTCACCCGTAACCCGAAAAAATGACATATTCCAAACTATACCCAACCCTATTATGTTTGCGAAATCACTCATATGTGTGCGGGTCAGTTCGGGTAGGACGAGTTGTGCGAGTCAGATAACCCTATGCCCAGCTTTAGAAAAGGATTAATTACATTTTGTACCTTTATAGTTTGACTCAAATTTTAATTTAATCTCTATAATTTTAATTTAAACAATTTAATTCTTACACTTCAAAGTTTAGTTTCAATTTGATCATTTCATTTAATTTTTTTTTGTTAATTTTATCTACATGTACACCTTAGAAAATTAACAATATTCAAAAATTGTTAATTTCAACTTCTAATCAAATTTAAACCTTAAAAAAATGACCAGTATCTCAAAATTGGCCATGTTTGGTTTGTCTTTTAAAAAAAATACTCAGAATTTTGTTTTGAAAAAATAAAAACTAATTTGATAAAAATAGATGTAAAAAATATATTTTTAAAATTTTAAAAATTATTTCTATATCCTAAAAAATAAAATTATATAAAAATGATTTTTTTTTTTAGAATTTCTTTCACCAAATTAATTTAAAGTTTTTTTTTAAAAATTTCTGAAACAAATTTCTAAAAACCAAACAAAACATAATTTTAACTTCAATTTAGAAGGAATGGCCTTATTGAAACTATATTTAAATGTAGAGATTCAATTTTTCAGTGAAAAGTGTAATTAACCCTCAAAAACTACTGCCTTCTTTTGTACAAATAAATGAGCTTTCTATTCTATTCAACATATCTCAGACTTAGGGGAAACCCTAATCCTACACATCTATTTTCAGATAACTTACAAAGTTAATGATTGATTTCTAACATCACAACAAAGTTAATAAGTTATATATTATTAATGTCTCATAATATTTCAAGAGAACAAATTGGCAACATTCACATCTAAGCACAATATTATTGTTCTATTTCTTCCTGCAATTGCATCTGCCAAATCTTCTCAATGAAGCCAAGCACTGTACCCACGCCTTTCTCATCTGCACAAATGTAAGCCGAAAAAATAAAAATTAAATAGATTATTGTATGAGTTCAGTAATAATGATTCACAAGCACCAAGTTCAATGAAAGCAATGGAAAGTTTGCCAAGAATTACATGAAACTTTCTTTTGCACAAGTATGTTGATATGTGAAATTACATAGCAGTATCTATGCAATCCCATAAAAGAATCATTAGCTTGTTCTAGGTTGACACAGTTATGACAGAAAGTACTGCATAATGACCTGTTTGATGCAACTTATTGTAAGCTGAAAACTAGAAAGCAAAAGTCAAACGCATCCATGCCTAACTTCCAGATAATCAATTTTTTTTTAACTTATGTAACTTATTTCTACATAATAAGTCGTAAGCAAAAGCTACAACAGACAGTTTGTCACAAACTCCCTGAATAAATTTTTTTTTTTAAAAAAAGAAAAAAGAAATTTATAAGCAGCTCAGGTAACCTACACCAAGCAGCTTAAATACTAACCAAGTCTTGGTACTGTGTGCCCCTTGGCGTGGTAAATTACAATGGGGTCCTGAAATGATTCCAATAATGCGATCCCATGTTCCTTCAAGAAGTCAGTCTCACCTGCACAGCAGGTACTGTAATATATGAGTAAATGATATGTATCTTTGGAACATTGCTTTCAACTCAACCATGGAAATTGCCTTCGCCAACAACTTCCTAAGAGAAAAACAGTGTGAAAACGATGTGACCTAGTTTACACTTGGATAAATAGATTTGAAATCAACAGATTTAGGGATTTCAATTTTCAAATGTAAGAGAGGGCGAGTTCTTAGAGCTAGATTAAAGACCTAAGGCCATCTCCAGCCCTTGCTCATGTATAACTGAAAATATTTTGCTCAGATTTGAGTAAAATTTTGAGTGAAAGCTTTCATCTCATATAGTTACTACAATGGCCAAACTCAAATTTGAGTAGAAGTTTGTTAAGTGACACTAGGGATGTAATCAGTTCCGGACGGTCGGTGCTTAGGTGAAATTTTACCGAACCGATAATGTCGGTTCTATTATATTGAGAACCGATATAGACTGAATTTTTCACTAAACCACGTCAATTCAAACGGTTCGACTCGGTGCGGTTTTCAGTTTATGACCTTTCAAATTTGAATTACTTCTTGAATTTGTAGTATAGTAAATAATTTATATAAAAATATTGAATTAGCCATTTGTACATTACTTCAATATGTAATCTAACCATTCACAAAAATACAAACAAAAGAATTAATAAATACTAAGTGTTTAAACTTTTACTGAAGTAGAAGTAGAAACAAAATATAATCTGAAAACCAAAGTCTTGACGTCAAAACAAAACAAAAGTTTAAAACCATCATCCCATAAGATTAAATCACAAGTCTATCAAGTAGAGTTAAAACAAAAAATTGAAAATGACATAAACATCTGATATAACTATATAGGCATAGTAGTAGCAAAACTTGACTCAAGCACATATGAGTGACAAACTAACAACTTATCACATTGTCAATATCTATTGTCAAACCTGGAATATTTAAGAAAAAAATAAACAATTAAGTGAATCAATTGAATTTTATACTCAACCAATTTCATTAAATATTTAATATATATTATGTTTAATATGCTAAACTTTCGGTCGGTTTCAGTTTCATTCAGTACACAAGGTGATCAAACTGGTACTGAACCGAAAATTGAAAAAAATTAATTTTAAAAACCGTATAGACTAATTCCTATTAAAAAACCGACTAAATATAACCGGTTTAGTTTGGTTTAACCGATTTGGTCGGTTTTTTCGGTTTTTCTTACATCCCTAAGTGACACAATTGTAAATTTAGAAGTTGACATATCACCACAAATTGGCTTTAGAAATTTGAGGTTAAAAAAAATATATATAAAAGTCTCGCTTGATTTGAGCCAAAATTTGAATAAAACTCATTTTGGTATGAGTTTTAAGGGAGTGAAAAAAATTTTTAAGCATTTTTACTCAAATTTAAATTTGATGTGGGTAAAGTGTAAGGATTGGAGATGCCCTAACAGGAAGGCATAAAGTGGGGATATTTTACAAGAATCCTTGTACAACTAATTACCATGGATTTGAAATAACTATTTCCTTCCACTTTGTCATTTGAAATCCAATCATAATAAAGCACTCAAATCATTCCATCCATTTTTTGATATCTTTACAAGTAAGTCATTCAATATAAATTAAGGCATATTTCTTGTAATCAATTCCAAATCCGCTCATTTCAAATCAATGAATACAAAAACCAATTGGGTTAGCTCAGTTGCTTACCCCTGTAAACTTCTACCTAGGAGGTCAGATAGTCAATCCTGGCTAAATGCAAAGATTGATAATTTCTTCCCTACTATAGGCTTGTTTAGTTATTTCCCATTATGGAGCTCTTCCTTAGGTTGACTGTTGGGGTTGGTTGTTTCTTCCCCATTATGGGGGACCCAGTTGTTGGCTTATATATCTGTTCAACTATGATTATCCGGTTGTAACTCTCTTTAAATTGTAAATACTCGTTACCGATTCACAATATATATATATATACAAAATCAACAAGAAATAATTGAAATTTTGACCACATCTAGTTCAATACCAAGATCACCCAGAAATTATAAGAGGCAAGTACCTATAATGTGGAGGGATGGTAATTTGATGGGGGAGGAAAATGCATTAGCAGCCAGTTTGGGCAAACCAAACTTGTGTCCACCAAACTTAGCCCCTGATATTATTATCAGAAACTTTATCATTGGAACCTTGGTTAGAGCCACTCCCTCCAATTGCATCCCCGGCAATGCTGCTGATAAAAGTGCTCCCTAATTTTCATCAGATCGGCAATATTTTAACAATCAAAAAAGAAAATTTTACAAGGACCCATCAAGAATATCAATTCCATGACTATGCTAGTAATACAGGTCATAGAGCTGAGTTCTGTGTTCCTACAATTGTTCAGAGCAGCAATTTTTAACAATCAGAGAGAGAGAAATAAAATTATAAACTAAACATGAGAAAGACTTCTCTTTCTCTTCATTTTCTATCATTTCTCACCAAATCACCCTATCCAAACATACTAGAGATACAAAACTCAGGCGTAGGACACTCCCACTCACATGAGTGTGACCCAATTCATTGTCATCCAAGTGTAGGTAAAAATTTCAAGAAACCCACCTGGGAAAAACCAAGCAGACCATCAAAAGGTCCATGCTTAATCATATAATCTTCTAGATAAGCAAGACATTCTTCGAAATTGTAGTACTCTGTAAAATCCTACAACAAAGAAAACAAACATAGATTTCACAAAATTGAATAGTTATTTATTTATTTTTTTTGGCACAACCAAATCACAATCACTACAAATGAATGGATCTAAAATAAATGAGATGATTAGTTTGGAAAGATGGGGTTTGATGAGACCTGGTTAGAATGGAACCATTCATAGTAGGGAGGATCAAAGAAGGCTTCAACATCAGATTTGCCTCGGGCCAAACAAGGCCCATCAACGAAGGCGAGGTCGAGCTTTCCGAGGAGGGTTTGAGGCCACCGTCCGACCTGTTTTTTGAGGATTTCAGCACTTGTCCTGAATCCATGGAGGCATAGTACCCTGGGTTTCTTCTGGATTTGAGGAATTTCCACCTTATTGTAATTATTATTATTATTCATTTCTTGGGTTTCTTGAAATTGATTGTTTGGGATTGGGACTGGGGTTGGTGACACTTTATTGAAAGCCATGGTTGTTCTTCCCCAACTGACGATGGAGTCCACTAGTCAATGGCCACAATCGTAGGAGACTTGACATGTAAAAAAAAAAAAAAAAAAAAAAAAAAAAAAAAAAAAAAAAAAAAGGCTTTGATTCAACTTGGAGCACAACCCCCATTGCACTTAGGGATGGCAATTTGAAACCGGTCCGATAGGGACCTGACCCCCCGACCCCGATCATAATGGTTTTTTCTTGAAAAATATCTCTGTGGGGACGGGGATGGTATTTGAAATTAAATCCTCGATTAGTTTCGGGCCGAGGACGGTGATAGCTTTCACAGCCCCGGACCCGGCCCGTCTCCCTCCCTGTTCCCGGTTTTCTCCCCGAAATGAAATTACTATAATACCCCTGTCTGTATATATTACTATAATCCCGTCCCCTTCCTCAAACAATCACACGTGAGAGAGAGAGAAGAAAGTCACAGCTTACTCATCGTCGTCGTCCTCCGCCGATCTGATAGCACCGCTCCTCCACCGCCCTCCTCAACTCTCTCACTCGTATCTTCTCTCTCGACTCTCTCACTGTCTTCACTCTCTCGTTCTCACCTCTCACTCTCTCTCAACTTTCTCGTTCTTCTCTCTCTCTCTCTCTCAGCTCTCTCACAGTCACGGGGACATCATCGCCACCACCGCTGGCCCCGCCACAGCCACCGTCACCGTCGATCTCGCCAACACCGTCGATCTGTTAGATTTCTCTCTATCTCTCTCTCTTTGATCTGATGTTGTTGATTTGTACTCAGATATGTATTGTTGTTTATCTGTATTGTTCAGAATATTTTTTTTAATCTATGTTAGTTATATATTGATTTGTTATATATTCATCTGTTAGGTCTGTTATATATTGATCTGTTAATTTTTTTTTTTTTTGATTTGTGATATATGTTGATTAGTCAGTGAGTTGTTGAACAAAATTTTTAAAAAACAAAGAAGAAAAGTTCGGGGATATTTCGGGGTCGGGGAAACCCGATCCCCGTTAGGGGACGGGGACGGGAGGGTGATGGGCTCCCCCGCCGGGGATCGGGGGCGGGGGCGGGGATTTTGTAATCTTCGGGGATCGGGGACGGGGAGGGTGGTCCCCGGCCCCGCCCCGGCCCGTTGCCATTCATAATTGCACTAACCTTCTACTCTGGGACTTATTATTTAGGGTCTGGCTTTGGTCCAGTCTATCATCGGATTAAACTGTGTTGTTGAGTCTGTAGAGGTTCATTACGGTTTCTGTTTTAAAAATTTGAACCGTTCAATATATAGAACTTTTTGAGAACTATATATTTATAAAAAATCACATTGATCGGATATCGATAGCTATGTGATCAAATCAGTTTTGTATAAAAAAAATAGACGGTGAATAAATTAACGGTTGACAAAAAACGGATTTGATCACATAGCTATCGATATCCAATCAATGTGATTTTTTACAGGTATATAATAATCGAAGAGTTCTACACATTGAACGGTTCAGATTTTCAAAACGGGACCCGTGGTGGGCCCCCACAGGGCGCAACAGCACGGTCCAGTCCGATGGTGGACTGGACCAAAGCCAGACCCTATTATTTAATAGGTTATATTATAATTATTATCATGATATTTTTTATTATATATTATTAAAAAAATTATTAATTATTAATTTTCAGTAACAGTTTAAATCATAAAAAAATATTACTAATTACAAGTTTTAATAATAGTTTAAAAAAATCGTTACAAAAACATGACTAATTTTTAATTTTTAGTGATAGTTTGAAAATTTCGTAACAAAAAAAAGTCATTAATTGTAATTTTTAGTGATAATATATAAAAATCGTGATAAAAAAAATCAATAATTATCAATTTTTAGTGACATATATAAAAAATCGTCATAAAAAATTATTTTTAGCGACGATTATATTAAGACTTATTCTTAATAAGACTTGATGAAAATTAAATCTAACTATTACGACCTATTAGTAATTTACCCTTTACCCCTTTACCTTGCCCCTTATCATCTCTTAATTAGGTTATGTTATGTTATTTTTTTTGTTAAGATTATTATTTTTAATTAAGATATTATATTAATTACTATTTATAAATTTTTTAATTATTCCTTATATTATATTTATTAATTATAATTTTTTTAACTATTATAAAAAAAATCACATTATTTATTATTATTATTATGTATGTGTAGGACATATGGAACTACATACATCTTGTAATTGATAACTGTTGGAAAAGTTATTCCCATCAAATGTGGCACATGAAGTGGAATAAATTGCCAAATCAGTTATTTCTTGTTTGAGGCATATAACTTATAAGGATCTGCACGGTCTCCCGTCTCAAAGTTTGGTCAATTGAATTCACTTTTGAGGTTTATTTCAATAATTTGACCATTTTATATTTTAAAATTTATCGAGAATATCATTCATACAAAATATTAAGTTGTGCGGAAAATGAAAATTACGTGTTCGAATCAATTTTGTATGAATAATTTATTCTTACTGTCTATTTTTTTTTTTATACAAAATTGATTCAAATTATATATCTGATCTGTTTAATTTTTTGTAGGGATGATAAACTCGACAAATTTTAAAATGTGAACGATTTAAATTATCAAAACAGGACCCAAAAGTGAGCTCAGCGGGCTGGACAACACCTCTTCGATCTGATTTAAGATTAGAGAGAAGCCAATCCCAACTTATAAAGTGGGCAAGAGGGATGGCATGACATTGTTATCAATCCTCAACACATTACTTAGCATAGATCTTTCTTTATTTAGGAATAAATCTTTTTTTTAGGACTAATTACAACGGTGTTGTTGGGCCTATGAGGCCCACCATGAGTTTCACTGTGATACTTCGGACCGTTCAATATGTAGAGATTGTCAAGTACTTTATCCCTACAAAAAAATCACATTGATCAGATACCAATAGATCGGTTACCGTCCAATAGACATTTGATCAGAACACATTTTTATCAACAATTTATTTTTAAAATTATATTTACCATTGACAAAAACATGATCTAATCAAGGGGTTATTGACATCCAATCAATGTGATTTTTGCAAAAATGAAGTACTCAACAAGTTCTACACATTGAATGATTCAAATTATCAAAATGAGATCCATGATGGACCCCATGGGGCCAATAACACTGTCTAGTCCACAAAGTGGACTAGTCCCATTTGTAACGCATAATTGTATATTGTAATTTCAGTGTATTCCTTGTAGATGTTGGGAGTCTTTTAGGCCTCGTTTGGGAAGTAGCTATGTTAGCCAAAAAACCAAACCAAAAAATCACTATAAATTGTCACATCATTCTCTCTATTTTTCTGCACATTTTTTCATAAAAAACCAAAAAGTTACTAAAATAGTTTGTTTTCTCTATTTTTACTTTTCCTTCTTGTTATTATTCCAAAGAAGTCTTTGAATATTTCAAGGCATAGAACATTAACACAATTAGTTTGATTATTGTGTTGTTTGATGAAATTTGTGTTAAAGCTCTATCGATCTAAGCTTAACCAGAATTGTACTAATATAAATTGGAACACACAGTGAGACTCGTTCTAATTTTGAATGATGGCACATACTAGGAGACAAGAACATAGGCAAATGGTCTGCAGTAGTGATTGTCCAAAATGAAGCAAATAATAAAAATGGTGATGCCTCACAAGCAAATGTACAGGTACTTCAAGAACACAATGGACAAGGACAATTGTGGGGACACTTGTATAGATGCCCTGGTACACTTTTAGATCCTTGATGCAGCAAATTATACTTTGTTGAGTTCATTGAGTTGATGTCAATGCCTATTTAGCATGTGATGTTTTTAATATTTTTGTTTCGGGCATAAGGATGAAAAACAGAGACTTAGAAACACCTTTCAAACATGACCCTATCTAAAATCTGACTGCATGAGCGGCCAAAGAGCTATGAAGGCTGGACATGGCACCGCTCGAGCGACCAGGTGCACCACATGAGCGATGATGAGCTTTGCACAAGCAGCCAGACATGGAGACCTTGCTTGGGCGCCGTATGAGAGGCCGTATTGCACCACACGAGTGGCGGAGTAGCAACATGAGCGGCTGGGGCCACCGCACGAGCCAAGGCTGAAAAGCTGCAATGTAGCAACCTTCCAACCTAGTATTTTTGAACCCCTCTTGGTATTTCTGCAGGTAACCCTCTTTGTCAATTTATTTTACACATCTTTTTCTCTTTCTATATCTCTTGCCATCATTGTTATACTTTGTGATTATCCTTGAGGGATATCGTTCTCGACTTGATTGCCGAAGTGCTCTTCTGATCAGTAGCAACCGGTTTAGTTGTTTTGTTCCTTGTTTCAGGTTGTGGATTTCATCTAGTGCATATGCTCTTCGGCTTGTTCCAGGATTTTAAAAAGATCATATTTGGTTGTGTAGTCAAATTTTAATACACATAACAATCAAGTGTCCTTCTAGTACGACGAATTCTAATCCAGATTAGGTAGGTTTTATTAAGCCTCCAAGCTGAAGAATATCAACAATTGTTGACTGAATTAAAAAAAAATGATTGATGAAGGCCTGATACGTGCTTGTTTACATTTAAGCCTCTTAAAGTGCACTTGTTAAAATCTTTAATTTTAGTTACTTAATTATTTTAATGCATTTTTGTTCTTTTTAGGTATTCAAGCTCATGATGCTAAAGGCTATTATTAGCAGATATTTTAATATTATAATGTGTTACAGATTATATTGTATGATTGGGCTCCAAATAACTTGTTCTCCTAGTTAATCCTTTCTTTTCCTCCAAGAAAACTTGCCCACCAAGTCTCCAAGTCAAGTCTCCGAGTCAAGTCTTCATTCTTATCCACCAAGCCTCTAGGAAATTTCACACCAAGTTTCCTCACCTCCAAGGAAATTTCCCACCAATTTCCTCTCTTATATTTTTCCTCCAAGTTAACCCCTTTCTTGGTGACCAAGCTTTCCTCTCCTATAAATTGAGCCTTTCACCTCTCTTATTGTAGCTTAAGTTTCTTATTTGTGAGATTATTAGGCAAATAAAAAAGGGTGTATGTGATAAAGCTTTGGGTTCAACCAATTGTGTAGTATTGGTTA